TTCCTTCTCAGCGTGGGAACTGAGTGTAACTGAGAACCAATGTCAGACTGTGTGTCAAGCCCTGTTTCTATAAGGGTACTCCGCCTTTCCTCCTTTGTTTATTCGAGCAGGGGGTGCAAGCAGCCCATAGCAGCCCATCCAGTCTTGCACCAACGAAGACACTGGATGTGTGCTGGTGATATCGATTTGGGACGCCAAATCGACGTACCTGCGACTAACGTTTGCACAAGCTGTGACTCCACTGTTCTCGGTTTGATTCATGGTTCTTTCACGATACTTCCCCCAAACCCTTTTTCTGCAGCCGCTTTCTGCTGCCGCGCGTTCGTGAACTGCAGATGTGCACAAAACCATTGTTGAAACATCTTCAATGACTTCAATGTCTTGGACCTTTCGCCGTGCCGTTCCTTCGCCTTTTTCCACTTGGGAATAGATTAACTGAAAACCAATGTCAGAGTGTGAACCGCTCAGTCGTCCCACTTGGGTGCTGGGTGTGATCCTCCGCAAGGAGGCGCTGTTCTCATTCCGGGATTTGTGTAACTGCTTTCATCGCTTCCACCATGCCTCGGATTTTCTTAACCGACTTAGTTTCACTACTGAATTAACTGCCACTACGCCGCCGGGCATCACGGAATTTCCACTTGAATTGATTGAATTCATTTCCACGTTTTTGCAGCTTGTTTCCACGTTCAAGCATGTACAGCTTCACGCATTCCACTATGACAAAGTGGTCAGACAAGTCTTTTTCCACTATGACCACTTTGCAGCTGAACTAGTGCGACTTAATGTCCTAAAGGGACACGACGCCACAGAGTGCCAGCGTTTCTTGCGGAAAATCGTGGAAACCACAACACATATGCGCCGAAAACGGCCATGTGTGTGTGTGTGTCAAGCCCTGTTTCTAAGGGTACTCCCCCTTTCCTCCTTTGTTTATTCGAGCAGGGGGTGCAAGCAGCCCATAGCAGCCCATCCAGTCTTGCACCAACGAAGACACTGGATGTGTGCTGGTGATATCGATTTGGGACGCCAAATCGACGTACCTGCGACTAACGTTTGCACAAGCTGTGACTCCACTGTTCTCGGTTTGATTCATGGTTCTTTCACGATACTTCCCCCAAACCTTTTTTCTGCAGCCGCTTTCTGCTGCCTCGCGTTCGTGAACTGCAGATGTGCACAAAACCATTGTTGAAACATCTTCAATTTCTTGGACCTTTCGCCTTGCCGTTCCTTCGCATTTTTTCCACTTGGGAATAGATTAACCGAAATGTCAGAGTGTGTGAAAGTGAAACGTTGGTTTGTCGCCAATGAGTTGATGAGGCTAGTGGGGAAATCTGCGCAAGCCACCCAGATTATTGCATTTACTGTACATGAAGTGAACTCTGTTATTGCTGTGACTCAGCCACCTCAAGGGAAGACCACCCAGCGCCTCAGGGACAGGGCCTCGGAAGAGTTTTGTTGAGCACAATGCTTCACATGTTGATTGCGCAGGCGAACACGTGAAGAGCCTTAGCGCGATTTGGGAAGCGCGGCACTAAAAGCCAATGCGGTATTTGCTGTCTCCGCAAAGAGCAATTCAGATTCAACTCAGCCCCATGAAGGTTGAAGAGGTGGATCTTGTAGATTGTCCAGTAGCGGCGGGCGACTGAGTCTCGTTCTCGTTGTTAGTCTTGCCAAATGTGTGTGAAGAAGTCTGAACTGCGTTTCAAACTGTCCACGTGGGAGTGTGAAGGACAAGTCCCGTCGAAAGTTGGAGACTCAGAAGGTCAGAAGGTCTTTGTTGCACTCATCTTCGCTCGTTGGTTTTGTTGAACGTTTCGCACAGGGAACTTCTGTGGAAGGTTCCATTGAACAGAATTGGTACCCAGAGGTTGGGAACAACAACAACGAGGTACAAACAAAAACTGCAGCCCCGTCAACACACATGTTCTTACTTTGTCTCTACCCTCTCCTAGAATCAAAAACTGCAGCCCCGCGGTTGTTTTTAATTGTTTTTTGACCCTCCAGAACAACGAGTCAGTAGTGGGTTGAGGTCGCCGCGGATGCGCGTGGAACTTTGCTAGCTGCTAAGCAAGCTTTTTTTGCGACATCCACCTAAGAGGATTTCTCCAAGAAAGCCGAGAAAATGAGAAACCAAAGGTAAACGGTAAACTATATAATAAACATTAATAAATTATACCGGCATAGACCCCACATAGCACTTCAAGAAAAGTTGGACACCATGGCAAGAGCGGGAGACAAGCTTGGGAGACATCCCACTCAAAGCCGGGAAAAGGATGGAAAAGGTAAACAAGACCTAAATCATCTTCATCTTCTAACAGCATCTGCGTCAAAGACAGGCAAGAAAATGACGAGGCGGCAGCGGCAGCCAAGAGCGAAATCATGAAGGGAGACAAGCTTGGGAGACAAGCCGGCAGCGGCAGCCAAGAGCGAAGTTATAAAGGGAGACAAGCTTGAGAAACAAGTCGGCAGCGGCAGCCAAGAGCGAAGTCATGAAGGGAGACAAGCCGGCAGCGGCAGCCAAGAGCGAAGTCAGGAAGGGAGACTAGCTTGGGAGACAAGCTGGCAGCGGCAGCCAAGAGCGAAATCATGAACGAAGACAAGCTTGGCAGACAAGCCGGCAGCGGCAGCCAAGAGCGAAATCATGAAGGGAGAGGCGGCAGCGGCAGCCAAAAGCGAAATCATGAAGCGAGACAAACTTGGGAGACAAGCCGGCAGCGGCAGCCAAGAGCGAAATCAGGAAGAGGAGACTAGCTTGGGAGACAGGCTGGCAGCGGCAGCCAATGAAGGGAGACAAGCTTGGCAGACAAGCCGGCAGCGGCAGCCAAGAGCGAAATCATGAAGGGAGACAAGCTTGGGAGACAAGCCGGCAGCGGCAGCCAAGAGCGAAATCAGGAAGGGAGACAAGCTTGGGAGACAAGTTGGCAGCGGCAGCCAAGAGCGAAATCATGAAGGGAGACAAGCTTGGCAGACAAGCCGGCAGCGGCAGCCAAAAGCGAAGTCATGAAGGGAGACAAGCTGGAGAAACAAGACGGCAGCGGCAGCCAAGAGCGAAGTCATGAAGGGAGACAAGCTTGAGAGACAAGGCGGCAGCGGCAGCCAAAAGCGAAATCATGAAGGGAGACAAGCTTGGGAGACAAGCCGGCAGCGGCAGCCAAGAGCGAAATCAGGAAGGGAGACAAGCTTGGGAGACAAGGCGGCAGCGGCAGCCAAGAGCGAAATCAGGAAGAGGAGACTAGCTTGGGAAACAAGGCGGCAGCGGCAGCCAATTTCCGCAATCTGGAACCCATCCATTGAGAAGTAAGAACCCCTATAGCTTCCAGCTATCTGGGGAATTAATAAACAAATCACGAAAGGTAGCGGTTACGCTACCTGAGTTTTCCTTTTGCTTTAGCAAAAATGAACTATAACCAGAGTGGACACCTCACTGAGAAAACTTCCGACATTTACTTTTAAGGGCCGAGGGGGGCCCCCCCCTTTCAACTCCACCCTGGCGCGGGTCTTTGTCAATAGCTACAAAACACTGTAAATACTAGTGTTTTCAAGTCCTCCAGTCTGCAAGAGTGGCCTCAAACCACGCAATTTACAGGGTTTTCTGTGGCTGTCCGGCCAAAAACCTTGTAAAAACCGATGGTTTTTGAAGTGTCTAGGCTTCAAAAATGGTCGAAAAATTGACCAAAACCTGGAAAGATTTTGTCGGAAATTGTTTTTTCGGCGCTTGGAGGCTTCTAAATGGCACAAACAACGGTATTTACACGGGTTTGTGTGCCTTCCCGGCACAAAACCCTGTAAATTGCGATGGTTTTGGGCTGTGTACGCTTCAAAGTGGCCACAAAACACCGTAAATACAAGTGTTTTCATGTGTTTTCAGCTCCTCCTATCTTCAAGAGTGGCCTCAAACCATGCTATTTGCAGGTTTTTTGTGGCAGAAAGGGCTTTTGCGGTGCTTGGAGGCTTCAAAGTGGCACAAAGCGACGGTACTTACACGGGCTTCTGCACCTTCCTGCCACAAAACCCTGTATATTGGGATGGTTTCAAGCTATGTACGCTTCAAAGTGGCCACAAAACATCGTAAATACCATCAATACCCGTGTTTTCACCTTGTCGCAAAGAGCTTTTCGGCTGTTGGAGATTTCAAAATTTCATCATGCTAAGTAACTTGACCTGAAGTACTGGTGCTTTGCCTGAACTTTGATCCTCTAGAAAGAGCTTCTGTTCGACCACGGGGGGGCCCTGGCCTCCTCCAGGGTTACGCCTGATTCCCTGCCACCTTTCGTTCACCCCCTCCTCTCTCAAGTAGGCTGCGATGACTCATGATGATTCTTTGTTCTGCAGACGAACTCTTGGCAAGCAGACGAACACTGGCCTGCTGACGAACACGGGGCTGCATACCACAGGGTCTGCTTTGTGGCGTAGCTTTATAAGAAACTTTCATTGGAAAGAGCCTGTTTTCCAAATTTAAAAAGGTCAAAAAAAATCAATCCCAAAAGTCAAAGTCAAAAAAGTCAAATCACATAAATTTCAGAAAGTCGAAAAAGTCAATTTGCCAAGATCCGACTCTTTTGACTTTATCTCGACTTTTAAAACTTTTTCAACTTCTTTTGACTTTTCTTTGCTTTTGTGGAGCTGTGGTCTATGGTTGACTTTTTCGACATTTTTCCAAAAAGCATCTCCGATGCTTGGGTTCTCGTTCAGTCGCTAGTGCCACGGAAGAGCGAGACAAAGTGTGCGTTGTCGGGACGGAGGGGAGCGAGACGGGAGGCGCATGGGTGGGGACGGGGCTGGGGAGGGAAGATGGAGGGGAGCGGGAGAGAAGATGGAGGGGAGCGAGACGGGAGGCGCATGGGTGGGGACAGGGCTGGGGAGGGAAGATGGAGGGGAGCGAGACAGGAGGCGCATGGGAACCGTATTGTTTTCTTCTTATCGCAACGATATTTCTATCTAGGGTCTACGCCGGTGTAAACCGGGAAATTGGCGTTGGCCGAAATCCCTTTGTGTTTGAGCTCTGTCCAAACAGACCGCGATTTTTGGAGCACCTGGGACTCCAGCTGACGGGGAACTTCAGCTGCATGGGGGAAAGCATGAAAGCCTCTCAGACCGGGAAATGGGCGTTGGCCGAAATCCCTTTGTGTTTGAGTGAGTAATTTCGAACAAAGCGAATCGTTTTGAAGCTGATTGGTCTTTAGGCTCAAACCCTTGCATGTGTAGTAATGGCTTGACGGGTCATCAAGAAGCCATATTCGGAGAGCAGCAAACGGGCAGGTCAATTCTGGAAGGTTTACTTCAGCGCGTCCGGAGATCTTCACAAAACCCTGACGGGTGCTGTGAAGGCGGGCTTCCATGTGGAGGGGCCAACTAGCACTGAGAGGCAATGTGAGCAGTGAGACTCCATCCTCGCAGCCAACGTCACCACAGCCGTCATCTCGTCCTCCTGTGGTGACAAGCGTCTCGAATTATTGATGTAAATTCTAAGTGCGTCGAAGCTCCGAATTACATGTTCATATTCTATCTACAGTACATGACTAGTTTCTTATGACTGAGGCAAAACACACCCAAGTCATCATGCGCGTTTCGCGTGCGAGAAGAAGAAGTATGATGATCATTTGCCTCGCAGCCTCAAGGAGCAGACCAAGAACAGACTGTTCAACCTGTGGTACTATCATGGGCAAACCTTATTGGGGGTGGTGAAGTTGCTGCAAGAACAGAATCTGTGAGCTCTGTCTAAACAGACCGCGGTTTTTGGAGCACCTGGGACTCCAGCTGACGGGGAACTTCAGCTGTATGGGGGAAAACATGAAAGCCTCTCAGACCGGGAAATGGGCGTTGGCCGAAATCCCTTTGTGTTTGAGTGCTGTTTGGGGTCTCTTGCCGGGATAATTAATGTTTTATATTCCTTTTGTTGGCTAGCCAACCACATTCATGAAGCATGCCCGTATGAGCTTGACACCAATAGTCAGGATGACCGGCAATTACTCTTTGAACGTTACCCTATCGAATTTCTTGTCACCACGGAATTCAACCAGATGAGCCGGCCCACCTGCGCTACGGCGCCTAGCCGCCTATCTGAACACTGCTTTTGCCAGCCTCGAAGATGCACCGCCGACACTCACAGTTCCAACAGGCCTTCAATGGCCTTCAATTTTTCGATATATATAGTATGATTTAGTTTAATGCCACTGTTAAGGGAGGATCGTACAATAAGTATCACAAACCCCAGCACCGGTAATTGTCGAACTCCCTGGAGGAATTGCTGATCCGTAGACGTTAGACTTAAAAAACAGAAGAACCTGGCACAAAACAGTGATAGAAAGACCGCGAGGGCTTCTCGTGAACGTAAGTGGGTCCAATAAGACATCTACTCGTGACTACACAAATCAGTCATGTTTTCTTTGGACCCCGCGCCGGGCTGTTTCGGGACATGGCATTGGCAGAGCCAATCTGGTTTTCACACCTAGTAAAACGTCGACCTAGGCGGCATCGCTACGTGTTTACAAAGCTCAGATGCCTAGAGGCCGGAATTTGAGCTGTCTTTCTTTGTTGATTTTACTAGAGCTGCCAGTGGACAGCTTTGGAAACTGGGAAGAGACATCATCCCCACGGTGTTGCCTACTTGTGGGTTTTTTGATCACCATCTTCTGACGCGCATTTGGGGCCTTATTCACGGGCAGCCCTGCTCGACCAAGCGGAACAGCCGTATATGATCTTGTTCGCCTCAGATTTCAGGCCCGTTTGCGCCCATCATTCGGTCCGGTCGGAAAGGGCAAATACGATAAGAGAAAAGAAGATAAGTGAACAGAACATAAGATAAAAGAACATAAGACCAAAAAATACTAGACGACGAGTGGCCCGAAAGGCCCGAAAGCATTTTTCATCACGTAGGAAGTCAGAGTGCGAGTTATCCGTTAAGTGTGGAGTGAGTTGAGGTAGTGTGTGGGTTTCTGTGGGTGTATCTATGTCCGTGTGTATATGAGTCTGCGTATGTGTGTGTGCTCGTGTAAGTTGAGGCAGTGCGTGGGTGTCTGTGTGTGACGCGGCCTCCCAAACCCCCCACCGGCGGCCAAGCGGTGACAGCCCAGCTCATCGTCATGAGCATTTGAGCTGCTGGTAAGGGGAGAAGCAGCGTGCACGGCGCCAGGAAAAGCTCACGGAAAAAAAACGAACCGGAATGAGGACAGAAAAGTGCCGAGGCAGGTACGCAACAAGTGTGTCAAAGCAGTGACTTGTCAGAGGAGATGAACGAAGTAGCGCGCAGGCCTCCCAAACCCCCACTGGCGGCCAAGCGGTGACAGCCCAGCTCATCGTCATGAGCGTGTGAGCTGCTGGTAAGGGGAGAAGCAGCGTGCACGGCTGTAGGGAATCTCACTGAAAAAAGCGAGAATGCTGAGGCAGCCACGCCAGAAGTGTCTCGAAGCAATGACCTGTCAGAGGAGATGAACGAAGTAGCGCGCAGGCCTCCCAAACCCCCACCGGCGGCCAAGCGGTGACAGCCCAGCTCATCGTCGTGAGCGTGTGAGCTGCTGGTAAGGGGAGAAGCAGCGTGCGCGCCTGAAGGAAATCTCACTGAAAAAAGCAAGCTGGAATGAAGCGTACTAAACGTGTGTCGGCGCGAAACAAATCTCTTCATTGAATTCAACTGTTCCATTGCCATTAGCATGGCGGAAGGAGGTTGATGTCCCCGTTGTCTTGCTTTATTTAGGTGCAATCTCCGAAGATGCAAGGATGATAAATGTCATGTGGCACTGGCCACCGATGTCTCTCCAACAGCGTGTAGAAAGACCAGATCTGAGAGGGCTCTTTGAGTAGTGGATGCAATGGCAACTGCTGGGCTAGAGTTCAGCAACCCTAGGTAGTCGTAACTCACTGGCTGAGTCGGATGGCGCTCCTAGTTGCAGAAAAATCAGTTACTGTTGATTGAACTTGACTATTAGTGAATGTTCCATGGCCGGTGCATTCAAAACCAATGAATCAAGGCATCGAACAAAAGAGTTCAGTGGCACCAGGTACCCTACAGGAGAATCATTTTCTTGGACCTGGACGTGATTGCCACAGCCCAAGAATTCGGAGCGTGTGACGCCAAGTGGGATGTTGTTTACCTACCCTTCCAACAAGACGTTGCCGAGTTCCACTGTTCCCAACAGCGGAACGCAGTTCAGTTCACAGAGCTTCGAGTAGATTTCAACACTTCCAGGTGAGAAGTTCGCCAGCTCCTTTGTTCGAGGCCTGATCTTGTAGAGGGGCCAATGTGCCAAGGGAAAGCTTGCCCATCTGCCACGTAGCTGGAAGAATCTGCCTGCGGCTCAAACTCCACAGCCCAAATCGCTCCATGGGTTCCCTGCCCAGTGACGCAAGACCGCCTGAGACAAGCACAAGAGCTGGGTAAAAGCTCGAGGCCGCAGAACTGACATCGGGACTTGCTAATCAGAACACGCCGGAGAAGGGTGAGCAGCGAGCAATGGTGAGCAAAGCGCTCCGAACAGACAGGAGTCGGGGGCCTGCCAAAGGCTCGACCACGTGCCATTATAGATCATTATAGGGTGGGGCGCCGAGCGAACTTCTCCCGGCGACTCTTGCAAAATTTGTTGACACTGGAATGCCGAGAGCAGAACTGTGGGCATGCTGCCTGGGGCTCCTGAGTGATGAAGTGGGATGCCACCCATTGCTCCCCGTTCGAGTTGCTCAACACCTTCCGGCAATGTTCGCAACCGGTCAGCCCGGACCAACAACATACACATAAAAGGGGGAGCCACCATTGGAAGTTCTGTTTAAAGCTCCCTCCCCCCGTGTTGAGTGAGTTCCTGCATCCGCTGCATGTCTGAAACTCAGATATCAGAGCGGCCTCCAGCATATGTACAGGGCTTAAATCATCACTACTTGTAGTGAAAACCACCCACATGAGAGTGAAATTCCACATAAAATTGAAATCTCTGCGGTGGTGAAGCAGTGACTCCAATCTTGTGCTAGGCCAACACACTCTCGGAAAGATGTCACTTGTTGCTTGGCCCTGTGGAGAATCTTTCCACGCGTGGCATGAGGATAAGCCGGATAAGCCTGGGGCGACCGATTGTGGATGGTGCATGTTTGGAGCTCCGTCCAAGCCATGCCCATCCGTGGCATGCTGCCAAGGGATTTCAGCAAATCCAGTGTCTTAGATGTCCATTTTCCTTGAGCGCTCCACTGTCGTTTGGAAAACATGGTGCAAAAAACCCACGTACCAGGATCCAGGATTGACAATTTCCATGAACACAACAAAGAAAAAGAGAGCCAGTGTCCAAATGCAAAGCAGGGGTCAAAGCCAGAGGTTGTAGAGCACACAACAGCATTGGCCACTGTTGGACTGGATTTCACATAAGGACCGCAAACTTCCATGCCCGCCGCTCGGAGGCAACGCTTCCTTGACTCATGTGTTCAAACATAAATGAATCACCCCCACAAACAAACGTGTTAAAGCTTTGCAGGGAAACAAAGGTCTTGGAAAGGCAGTGTGGTTGAAGCTCGGACTGAACAGCGCATCGTTTCTGGCCAGTGCTCTTTGAGCTCATCCTGATGCCTCACCAAGATACAGTTCCAAAGCAGGCTGGGCAAAGAAGCACATTTCGAGAGAAAGAACTCCAATATATATGCTTTGAAAATGCTATGTCTTTGAAGGCTGTCGAGATACTTTTTGCAAAAACTTTTGGACAATTCCAGCCGTGTTAATCAGAGATCTTCTCTTCCACAGTAGCGATCGCAGAGGCAATCTCGTTCCCACGGCTGATGATCCTGCATGCATGCGTGCACACACCATGTAGTCTATCATATGAGTTTGGAACCATAGACAAGAGCATGACACTGAACAGAACATGACATTTCAGCTAGAGGTGCTGGTCTGAGTTTGGCAGGTAGGGCAATGTCTTAGTCAGAGTATTCAGAATCATTGTTCACATCAAGTTACATAGTAACGTGAACGCGCAAACATGCTGTCTCACAATTGCATATATACTAACGTGAACACTTGGATGCTAACATGAACGCAGAGAAGGGGCGTTTTTTGAAGTGACTTGTCTGTGCTTCTATATGAATCGTCTGATTTCAAACTGTGCGTTGCTCGTGCTTCGTTTTTTGGCGGTATGTTGAGTCTGCAAAGTCGGAAGTAAAGCAGCGCTCAATTTGCCATCAACGAGTGAAATCCCAAAGTATTCCTTCAGTGATGGCTGCTGCTGCTGCTGACTGTGTTGTGTGAGAGATGCGCTGGCCTACAAACAGGACCTTTCCAATATTTGGACGGCAACTAACCAAGACACATGTCTTTTTCCCAAAAGCATCTCCGATGTTGGGTTCTCGTTCACTCGCTAGTGCCACGGAAGAGCGAGACAAAGCAAGCGTTGTGATGGGTGTGGACGGGGCTGGGGAAGGAAGGGAGGAGCGCATGCATGGGTGTGGACGGGGCTGGGGAGGGAAGAGGGAGGGGCGCGAGATGGGAGGTGCATGGGTGCGGCAGAACGTCGTTGCGCGAGTGGAGCGGTCTTGCGTGGCTGATATGCTAGTTACGAGGAGATGGTTCTGCTCCATGCTTGGCGGAAGCACGTTCTGACGCGAGGGGAGCTGTGTTGCGGGGCTTATATGATGATCATGTGTGTCCAAAATGCGCACAATGCATGCGCCAGACAGTCAAGTCATGGCCAAAACGGCAGGACTGTTGCATGCCAGAACCGCAATGTTTGAAATTTGATGGTTGGAACGAAGCATGGAGGGGGCTGATGCTGCTCCATGCTTCCTGGAACGGTTGTCAGAAGCCATGTTGCAATGGGATTGGAGACTAGCTGCAGAGATTAAAAACAGCCACTTGGTATAACTATATATAATATAATACATCCAACCTCCAACCCGACTAAAAAGGAACCGTCTTGTTTTCAGTGTGCTTGAGGGTGCTTTGCCGTGGGTAACGGGGGCTAAAAGACCGGTTGCGCGCTTCTTTTTGCTTTTGGGTCCGCGGGCTCACCTTGTTTCACGGTATATAGCTACTTCTAAGTTAGTCATCAAAACTGCTTAGACGTACATGGTCGTTTGTTTTTCAAACCTAATAATATACGTTTGCTTTAATCAGAGTACATGCACCTTTTTTGTTGATTTCGTTTCAATTTCCTTTCTGTAAATCCTATGAACCACTGCGCCATAGTTCACAAGAGGGCCAGCAACAACGACCGGAACCCAAAAACAGTGGCCGTAGGCACAGCTAAGCAATCATAGGAGTGATTTAATCCTTGACTTGGGTTGATGTTGGCTGCTCGCTTGCCTTGGAACGCAGGCTTCTTCCCACTGCTCCACCTGAATCTTGGGTGAGGAGCTCAACGCCACAGAACTGACATCAGTCTATCAGTGATTCAACTCAGAACTGTCGGGAAGAGGGTGAGCAAAGGACCGTCTCGGAACTGACCGAAGAAGGAGGGGTGAGCAAATAGGCGTAAGATCGATTCATTCTCTGTTCAGAACTGGTCTGGCAGCGTTTGTGTTGCTTTAAATCAATTACTGACGAGATGGCTGCGGGGCAAGCGCTGAAAAGATTTTTGCGGACGGCGCAACACACGATTGACGTTCGATGTGCGCCAGGGTCACGGCAATAAGGCCACCAAAACGGTGGAGCGAGCAAAACCGCATGGTTCAGCTTCGGCTGTTTGATTTGCGTGTCTTGATCCGGTTGTTCTTCCGTTTCTTCAATGGCTGGGAACCAGGTGCCCGCGCCAGCCGGCATGTACCACGGCCGCTGGTCCTGCCCCTAGCGGGCTGCTGGATATCGGGGAAATAAGCGAGACACGCTTCAGGTGTGCGAAGGCGTGCGCAGTTAGCTGTGACAGTGTGAAGAAAAGAGAAGCAAGGACAGTTTGTTCCGGAAAGCGCCTGCGAAGGGTACAGCTACCAACTTCGTCTTCCATAATATCTTCACCTTCATCACGCGCTAAGACTGTGTGTGTGTGTGTAACTATTCAGGTCCTTCGCACGGGCGCCGCAAAGCGGCACCGTGTGTGTGTGTGTGTCAAACCCTGTTCCTAAGGGCTTTTCACATCGGATTCATTTTTCAAGCAGGAGGGGAAGCGAATGGAGACGCCCATTCGTGTACCTGCAACCGAAACTGTTGGCCACGCTGTCTAATTTGCCTTGTTTGATTCCATGGTTCTTCATGCTACCACCCCCAAACCCTTTTTCCCACCGCACACTTGCAGCAGACTTGCGGCCGCGCTGAGTGTCCGATCACTTTCGAGTGCCATTGAAAACAAGGTTAGACTATACTGTTTTCGCTGACCCTTTCACCTTCCGGTTCTTCACCTTCCTTCTCAGCTTGGGAACTGAGCTAACTGAAAACCAATGTCAGAGTGTGTCAGAAGATTGCCAAATAGAGATCCGGCAGATACGCCAGGTAGAACACCGGAAAGAATGCCAGAAGATATGCCAGCTTGAAGACCAGAAGATGTGCCGGAAAGGGCGTCGAAAGATATGCCGGGTAGAATGCCAGAAGATAGAGTGGCAGAATTCAGCATACATGCCAGACAATGTGCCCGAAGATACGCAAGGCATATATGCCAGAGGCCGAGAGAGAGAGAGAGAGAGAGAGAGAGAGAGAGAGGATGTCAGAAGAAAGTCATAGAAATCCGGAAGGTACGCCAGATAAAATGCCGGAAAGGATGCCAGTGTACATGGGAAAAGCTGCCAGAAGATACACCATAGCCTTTGGCATAGAATGCCGGAACGGGTGCCAGAAGAGATGCCAGGGAGGATTGCGCATGTTACGGCAGTTAGAATGCCAGAAGGTAAGCAAATAGAGTGGAATTCTTAGGTGCGTACCACTTTGTGCCCGAAGCCAAAGATGCCAAAGATTCCACAGCCGAGCATCGGGTCTGCTGCTCGCTGCCAGAGGTGAGCAGGAAGCTTCTGGGCGTAGTGTTTTGCGCGCGACTCAAATTTGTCAAAGGCTGATTCTTTCAGTGGTAGGGCCAAAGCAGTGCCGAGCATCTTCCCAAAATGTTTGGGAAGGGAAAAAAGGACAGCTATTGGCTCCAACCCAAGATATGTTGCGTCAGATGTCGCGTGGACAGCGGTGTGGAGAACTTTGAAGGGCCTCTCTTTGCCAACATCCCGAAGTTGGATTTAACTCTCTGACTATGAACCGGACGCCGGGATGCCTGCAAAGGAGCGCCGAGCCGGAACCTATGAACAAGCATTTCATCGGTGGTCAAGCTCTCACGGCCTTGAACAAGATCCCGGTTAAAATGTCCACTACGCAATGGTATAGGGGCCGAGCCCCATATAGAATGTCTGTAGGCTATCATTGCATAAGAAATCATGGGGTTGTACCCCTATAATGATTATTGTAAGAAAATCATGGGAAATAGGGAAACCCATTTTGTAAAAAATGTTTGAGATATGGCTAGGGCCATAAGATCTGTCATTTTTATAGAGCCTTGTTTTAGGACACGTCTAATTTTGTATATCAGTCTAAGATGGCTATCAATCTGGCCCCTTGCTGGGCGCAGAAACTATGTGGTGGATGCACCAGCGAATGTTGTAAGGAGTTGCCGTTTTGGAAGAAAAATCATACTGGCTGCTTTAGCTGTATTAATCAGGAGTGACCCTGAGGTACCGATTTTGCCCCAATTATATAATTTCCAATATCGTTGGAAAATGTAAAAATACAAAACGCAGGATGATAATCCAACGTCGGGCGACATGATAAGTTAAATGGATACAAGCTCAGGTCCATGCAAGCAAGGGAGGAGGCCCCATCAACCGAAGTCGCTGAGGAGTGGACGCAGGTCCCGTGAGTTATTTTCTGGCTGCTGCCTTCAGAATTTGTTTCCGGGCTTGCAAAGAATGAAGCCGGACCCTTACAAAGACCAGCTTCTTAGACAAAGCTGCTGGAGGAAAGAGCGTACCAAATGGGTCATACTTTGGTGCCCTAAAACTCATCAGATCAGATGTAGGACATTGTGACATTGTGGCGCCTTCATTTCTTACAACATTTTCTAGATTGGCGCCGAGCGAAGAAAAAATTGCACGTTGGCCCTGTCACGTTGTATCTGGGATTGGGTGTGGCCTTAGTATTTTGTAAAAAAAATTGCTGCGCCCTCAGTGTATACCTACAATATCTGGGGCCTGACCGCTCGTCCAAAGTTTGCAAGTTGTTTCCCATTATAATGATCACTTGCCTTCCTCTCAGGGTGGGGCTGCTCGAAGTGAACATTTTTTTGTTTCCTCATTTTTGAGAGACCGCCTGCCACACGGTCCTAAAATTTATGAAAGGCGCAACTCCTCCTTCTCCTCCTCCTCCTTGCCTTCCTGCGTCCGTCCGGACGCCACAGCGAGCGCAAGCTGAACACACAGGCACGAATTGACACCACACCAGATAGAGTGCCATGAGAAACGTCAGAACAGATGCCAAGTGGAGAACAGTAGCCGGAGAGAATCCAACAAGAATGTCAGAATAGATGTGCGACTGCGAGGTTGAATGTCAGGAAGAATTTCAGAATAGTTGTCAGATAGATCACCGGGAGAAGTTTCACAACAGATGACAGATCTGGATTACTGCCAGAATAGATGCCAATTAGAATGCCAGGAAGGATGTCAGAATAGATAGATGCCAACTCTCCAGAACAGTGTGCTGCAGAAAGGGCGCCCTGTAAAATGTTAGAGTAGATGTCAGGGCACCTGCCACGAAAGAATGAATGTCAGACAAAATGTTGGAAAATGCCGGAACAGATGTCAGATCAGGCCAGGCCACCACTGTCAGTGGCGGGTGCAAGACTATAATTGCAGAACCCGTGTAGGAACGCGCGTCAGGCGAATGTCAATGTTGGAACTGATGTCAGAATACATGCCAGACATATTGAAAAACATTTTTTTGCGAGAGCACGTATCACCCTTGATGGCAGCACAAATGCCCGAACGCATGCCAAAACGGACAATGTCAGACCACTTTCCAGAACACTTCCCAGCCATAATGCTAGATTCAATGCCAAAACGTCATGCGGCAGGATAGTCTATCTGTCAGAAATCTTAGGCTCGTGAGGGATGACCATAGGTACACGCACGATGGCCGTATAGACCCAAATCCTTGAGGAGAAAAGCGCACCGCGCCGTTTCATGGTAGCGGAGCCCTGGTCGTAAAGCACCGGGGCTCCGCCACCTACGCAGCAGTACGAGCACCACGAAGAGCTCCGGCTCCACGACACGGAGGAGGACGGTTCGATCCAGGGGTGGTGCGTCCTTCACTTCGATCTGGATCCTCGAGCTCCTGCTGCTGGCACCAGGAGGTTCAGTACTACCAGTCGAACTCCATCCTGTCCTTGACCGGCAAGACGCGAGTGAGGAGGATCCACACCTTGGTGGTGGAGACTGAGGAGCACCTGAGCAAGATCAAGTGGATTAGAAGTGAGAAGATTGCGAGAGCCTCTATTGTGGTGGCCAAGAAGGAGCATCAGTCGGAGCTGAAAGAAGTGATTGTTGTGGTGCCGGCAAAGTGGAAGTTTGTGCAGCGCGCATTGAGGCACTGAGAGACGAAACAGGAGGGGACGAGTTGAGTGAGCTGGTTTACAACTGGCGATTCTGGGACATCCCGGCCTACGCAGGACTGGCATTCGGGACACCTACACCCCTTGCACCTGTGGAGACGAAGACATTCATCCCCAAGGTCTTTGGATTGAAGTCGATGGCTGAAGAGAGCCTGAGACAGGTAGCAACAGCCTTGGAGAAGTTGGCATTGAACCAGTCTGCACAAGGTTGGGCACGGCATCTAAAAGCACCGGATGTCTTCAAGCCCGATGGAAGAGATGCATCTAATTGAAGCTATGGGGAGACTGGAAATTTGGTTTCCTCAACTATGTGAAGGGGCTCGATCCCTCGATGGCGGCCAGCATGGATATGGTCGAAAGCAATGTTGATGCCAACTACAACTTCGAGGACATGACCGATGAGACGAAAGCAAAGGCCGTGAGACTTTACAGTCTGTTGACTTCGTATGTGAGGCAACGGCCATTGAAGCTGATTCGCCATGTCAAGAGTGAAAATGGGTTTGAGGCATGGCAAAGCCTACTGAAGGAGATGCAGCCGGCAACGAGGGCCAGGTCACTAGCCCTTTTGAGCCAGCTGTCCCGCATTCAATTTGCGGAAGGAAAGACAGTGTCCGAGCAGCTGCCGCAGTTCGAGGCCTTGGTCTTGGAGTACGAGCGCATCTCATCCCAGAAGTACTCAGATGGTGCCAAGGTGGCATCCATCTTGTTGGCATGCCCTTTGCAGATTCGCCAACATTTACATCTTTGGCTCACAGATACAACAACCTATGAGCAACTCAAAGACAGGATCATCCAGCTCGAAGCGGTGACGACAAAATGGGATTCTTCAAACTCCCTGATGCCTCCCACTAGGACCACCGGTGATGAGGCAACCCCAATGGAGGTGGACTACATTGGGAAAGTTGGCAAAGGCAAGAAGGGCCTGAAAGGAAAGGGCAAAGAGGCCAAAGGAAAGGACAAAGGCAAAGAGAAAGGGAAGTATGGCAGCAAAGATGGCAAAGGTGCATGGAAAGGGGCCGATAAAGGAAAGAGCTTCTGGGAGAGGAGTTCGGCGAAGAAGGGCAAAGCAGTTGAGAAAGGAAAAGGAACAAAGAATTGCGCCTGTCACAGCTGTGGCAAGACGGGCCATTTTGCTCGGGACTGCTGGAAGCGAGTGAATCAGGTGGAGGAACAGCAGAATCCAGGAGGAGCGAGCTCATCATCC